CCCCTCCTACCCGACTTACCTGCACGCCCTCGCGGGCGGGGAGAACCACCGGTAGGAGTCGGCTGCCAGGCACGGCAAATTTCACACGGCTGCTCCAGAGAGCAAGACCGACAGCCAGGACAGTAAGGGTGGGGGTCGGAAGCCTCAAAAAAATGACCCCCAGGACAGCGCCTTTGAGAAGGAGGAGTCTCCATCTCAACGTAAACAAACCGTCAAAAACGCGAACACGTGGCCGGAGCCTGGTCGCAAAACGGCGCAAAATAAAGCAAAAAGCTTAATTAAAACAAAATAAAGTTAACTAGTTATAAAGGATACGTAAATGTATGGGTACAAACAACGCCTGTTGTAGTTGGAACCCGTAGACACCAAAACACGTCCGTAAACACGGCCGGCTGAAGGAATTATGAAGTGGGAAGCATGGCTTCGTGTCTTAAATCACGTGCGTGAATACTGCCGTCTGATTGGTGGGTTTCCCAGGGGTTCCCCATGGGGGGAAAAATTCTTTATTTACGTATGTAAAGAGCCAAGTAAGGTTGGAATATGCATTATAATGACTGTGGTAACGTATTTTGAAATAGAAATGGTTGGATGCACAGAGGGAGACCTACCTTAGTAGTTTCAAAAGAAAGCCAACTGTCATAGACAAAGGCTACAAAACAGGTTTATATTTAAAATAAAGGTGTTCTATATTAAAATAAAAGGGTGCTGTGTTTTAAGTTAGAGATAACTGTACACTATGTGTGAGAGAGAACAGATCTCGGCTCTAACGGGCCTCGAATCTATTCTCTCTCACACATATTGTACAGTTTTCGGCTTATCTCCATAACTTAGGTATTTTTTTCTGTTAGTCCCGAGGGTATGATTCTTCTGTCTACGAGTTTGCACGTATCAGGTCACCTGCATTCCCAGAAAAAAAATGATTGATTAATTATAGTAGACAATGGATTATAAATGCTCGTTATCAGGTGAGTGTGACGACCTCAAATTCTCTTTAATGGATATCGTAATTCTCACCGGTAGTTCTGGAGAAGCTAATGTAACGTTATCTCTACACTTCATAAACTTTGGATGTGAACATGTCACACGTATAAATGAAGAAAATAGAGATAACGATTATGTAATTGCAGTCATTATATTTTACTATCATTACATTAATATTTACTATTGATTTATATATGTATTGTTTTATCGTGAGAAATATCAAGTTATCCAAGTTGAACTTTGCATATTTATTAATTTGCTTGCCAAAGATAAATTCTCTTTTATTAAATCGAAGACCAAGATTTTTAGCAATAATAGTGATTCTTATATTTTCGATCAAACTAGATACCTTTTCACAATCCCATAATATATGTGTTATTGTTTCTGGATGAGTTTTACAAAATGTGCACATATTATTAACTAATTTACCAATTTGAAAAAAAATAAAAAAATTGTGGTTAGAATTCTATGATTTATTCTGAATTGTAACCATTGTAGTTTGGAACTGGTACAGGCATTGAAAGGATATTTGTATTTATTTTTCCACGTATCTTCATTAATATTGAAATTTTGATTCCATTTATTTTGGGCGATTGATTTAACTTCATTTTTGATTAATATGGTATAAATTGCATGGGCTCCTTTTTTACATCTTAGGATTATCTTGAGATTTATGGTTATACTAGGTAGTATAATATTTTTTTTCTGAATCGAAAGAGTAGTGTATTCTTATTAAAACACATGTTTCGTTGCGGTTTCCTATGAAACGTACTGTTGTACAAATACATTGTAAGGTCGATACGATGAATTAGTTTAACACAGTACATTAAAGGTACCTTGCTATGCAAAGTTTAATTTAGAGTCAGTTTATTGTGTATTGCAATTTTTACAACGTTTGTGATGTAAGGGTATTTTTCATTGGTTAATAACTATGTATAATTTGACGATAGACTAAGTGCGTGCATGCATTATTTCTTATAGCCTAGGGCTTTTCCAAAAACCTTCCCCGCAAATGTAAACTTGGGAGCGATAAGAATGGTTTCCGGAGCCCGACATTTAATGTTCTTTGTATTTGAAGAGTTGCATGCGGACAAGTAAAAACGTTTCTATTTTACCTCTATATCTGTCTTAAAATCCGTCAAGTTGTCAGTCAGAATGTTTCACCGAATTTTAAAAATGCTGATTACATGTGTTGACGAGCGATGTCGAAAGATTCGCCGATGATTTGATGAATGCATTGTTTATCGCCTGTCGACCAAATTGAGACTTTAAATGAAAAATCCTTCCGAAGTATATCAAGGTTAAATAGAGATAGGACAGCTTTCCCTGAGGTCAGAAATAGCAAGTAAGTAAGACGGTTGCTACGAAGCGTACTGTAGAAAACGGTATATCAGAAAGTCACTATAAAGCATTCACTTATAACAAGTAAGTGTAACACGGTATATCAGAAAGTCACTATAAAGCATTGTGTTATAACAAGTATGTTTAACACGGTATATCAAACGGTGACTTTGTAGTGTATTGGTATACATAGTATTCCAGAGGGTGTACACATTACGTTACAGGGGCGCTAAGTTTCGTGTTGTTTTACACGATTTTCAAAACTAGTATTAATGCAGGACATCATCAACGACTTCGGCCCGGTGTTATACCGGTGATATCAATCAGGCTGATCCCTCTGTGTTGCTGACTCGTCCGTGTATAGTGTATCCGGCCTTACACTAATTTGCTGCGTATAAGGTTACACACAGTGATCTTCACACGCGCCTCCCACTCGTTCGCGAACAGCCCGCTCTTATGGAGCCGTGGTCATGTGATTTGCCATCAGAAGTTGGAGTTGCGATACCTGAAGTCTTATCAATTTGATATTTAATGCGAAAAAGGCTGTTCGCCACTATCAGTCCCCAGTCTATGTGAAACTGCCTTCTATCTTCATTACTTAGGCCGAGTTCTAAGCTGCCAGTCTGTGGAGGAACCAGCGATGGCGTGGACTTGTTGAATTGCATACTATTCACAACATATTATTTGGGATTTATATATATTTCAAAATAGAATATTTCTGCAACACCAGAAATGATGGATCAGAACGTGACCGGAAACTACACTGTGACAACCGTTGTGAGTACCCTTTTATTAATTATTATCGTACTGCCTGATGTGCTACTTTCAGCATCAGCAAGGTAGCCATTTCTCATTGTAAATTTTCTGAAACAGTTGTTACTGTAAGTAAAGACGAGGTTACCGGACTCTTACAAAAGTTGTTTTAAAGTCAGGCACGTATTTATAGCAAACATCGAGACGAAATTCATAATTCGGACATGGAGGGTTATCCGTCTTACATTAGTGATATGCATACACTGCGCAGTAACTACTAGTATCTACCGTTTATTGTGGAACATTAACCACCAACTGGTATTCCAACGATTTACATTGATACGTTTTTAACGTTACGTAGATATTAATGTATATTGTGTGTGGTCGGTATGGTGTCTAGCAGTGATTACGTCTGTTTCGCGTCATGATTCAATAGATAGTATTTTGCATAATTTTTGCAATGTTTGGAATTCAAATAATCCTATTACCGTCAAAATGATGTAATCATAAAAGGCAATGAAACAAATAAACGGTATTTGTAGCGTTATCGTTGTCTCTGGATTATTGGTAAGTTATATGAGAGCTTATTCAACACTGTATACGTGTACGTCATAATGGAGATACACTTCAAACTGCCACATAATGAAGTCACTGGACCTTCAATAAGTCACATTACATAGACATAAATGTTATACCTTCATTTAGCCATCTTGTTAATACTCTGAACGTTTGGGCTACAGTAAATCACTATTACGCTTTTAAAATTTAAACTTTGGTGAGCCACGTAAGTCTAACATTAAACAGGAATAGGATTTTGGTCGGTCACTTTATTGTTGGCAACAATGACAATTCTGAAATTATAAGTCACATAAGCGATATTTTTCCAAACTAATATAAAAAATATATCACTTTAACTATATGCTTTAGTTGATATACAAAAGTACTTGTATAAGTAACATTAGCACTTTTCAATTCAAAAGTATTTTATTAACAATACATATATAATGCAAAATATAAGTTTTATGTATCAAAGTAGATGTTAGTACAGTATTGACAACAGGATCAGACACCAGGCTATGCCTATGCTATGCACTTTTATTCTTATCTATCAGTAACGCAGCCAAATAACCCTTTCCACGCATTGTTACACTAGAGAAAGTGTTTACATTTTTACTTTCAAGTAAGCCACACTCTACACTGCATACTCCGAAAAGAATCCTCTGCGGTTTAATGTTCGCTTTTTTCGCCCTGTGTAATGAGAGCGAATACTAGGAAACAATATAATAAACATAGGAATTAAATATAAAGGGCGAAATCAACACCGGGCGAACATTGATTTCATGGGCAAAGGACAAACGTTTGATTGAGGAAACAAGATCCTGGTATACAGTATAAGTTGGCAATATGCTTTACACTGGCATACATAATGATCTGTAAATCCAAAATGTTAGTATTATATTTTACACTGGCCCGTCAGTAGGTCACATTAGCACTGCTCGTTACACTGGCCTGTCAGTAGGTCACATTAGCACTGCTCGTTACACTGGCCCGTCAGTAGGTCACATTAGCACTGCTCGTTACACTGGCCCGTCAGTAGGTCACATTAGCACTGCTCGTTACACTGGCCCGTCAGTAGGTCACATTAGCACTGTTTGTTACACTGTATTATCAGTTCATTGCATTTACGGTATTCTTTACGTTTACAATCACGTTGTTCAAATTAGCGCATTTACTACACAGTGCAAATTACCGCTATTCCTTACGCTGGCATACATTGTATCAGTGAAACACATTAGCGCATTTACTACACAGGGCAAATTACCGCTATTCCTTACGCTGGCATACATTGTATCAGTAAAACACATTAGCGCATTTACTACACAGGGCAAAGTACCGCTATTCCTTACACTGGCATACATTGTATCAGTGAAACACATTAGCGCATTTACTACACAGGGCAAATTACCGCTATTCCTTACGCTGGCATACATTGTATCAGTAAAACACATTAGCGCAGTTACTACACAGGGCAAAGTACCGCTTTTCCTTACGCTGGCATACATTGTATCAGTAAAACACATTAGCGCTATTCTTTATAGTAGCCTACCAGTTAAACAAATTCACGCAATCATCTAAACTTGTCTATCAGTAATAAACAGTAACGATATAATCTACACTGACATATCAGTATATAATATACATTTGCAGTATTCTTTATACTGACACATTAGAGCTATTCTTTATACTGACACATTAGAGCTATTCTTTATACTGACACATTAGAGCTATTCTTTATACTGACACATTAGAGCTATTCTTTATACTGACACATTAGAGCTATTCTCAACGCTGGTATATCAGTCAGGCACAGTTATGCGATTCTCTACATTGGCATTTCAGTAAGTCACATTAATGTTAATCTCTGAAGGACCTACCAGTAAGACACCGTAGCACTATTCTTTACACAGGTATATCCGCAAGAAATATGAGCGCTTTTCTTTAAACTTGTCTGTCAGTAAGACACGTACGCGCTATTATTTCCACTTATCTGATAGTTAGTCACACTTACGCTATTATTTACACTTGTCTGTCAGTAAGACACATAAGTGCTATTTTTTACACTGGCATACCAGTTAGACACATTAGCGCAAATCTCTGAAGGACCTACCAGTAAGACACATTAGCGCTATTCTTTACACAGGCATATCCGTAACAAATGTGTGCGTTTTTCTTGTAACTTGTCTGTCAGTAAGACACGTACGCGCTATTATTTCCACTTGTCTGATAGTTAGATACCCTAACGCTATTCCTTACACTTGTCTGATAGTTAGACACACTGACGCTATTCTTTATACACTGTCTGTCAGTAAGACGCATTAGCTCTATTCTTTACGCTTTTCTATCAGTAAGAACACATTAGCTCTACTCGTTAAACTATAGGTTTATCATGAAGAGTAATCACAGTATTGTTAGACACATTCTATGCTGCGCAGTAAGACAGATTATCGATAGCACACCGCTCTACAGAGACTGAATCCCAACACTATTTTCCACAGTATTGTCTAGAGGCGTTCTTAGAGTACCGTTATGTCCAAAATAACCGTGAAACGGCGCCATGTACTTGACATACAGTAAGAATTGTGATATTAAAATTTAGTTGGTGCGTTTTTCAATCGCAGTTCATTCGTGGCTTTAAATAGAATCGTGGTTGAGATGAGTACGGACCTTTAGCATCACTGACGCTCGAGGAGTTTTTCTAAATAACGTCGCTAAATAATAGTCATATTGTGTAGTAATTGCAACCCGAAAAAGCAATTTTATATTAGTTTTGTTCTCTTTACATTCAAAATTGATGTCTGATTTCCGCCCGAAGGTATCAAATTTATCGAATTGAGGAACAAAACTTTTAATGATTCTCGTTATCATGAGATATAATTTGATGGATTGTACGCTGTGAGCAGTTACGTTTGAAGGGGGAACATACAGGGGCTGAACGTGGGATATTTTAAGTTTATGTCTTGGAGAAGCATTTGAGGTTGATTCAGACATTTTAGAAAGCGTTTGGCTGGATTGTTCAAGTGTTCACAATATGCTCTAAGTGTATTAACTCACTAGTGGTAATTAAAGAGAATATGAATACAGGTACAACATATGGTGTAAACACTAATGGCAATTGCTCGTTTCGGGTTATTTGTATTGTCACCTAACATAAAAAGGCTTCCGATACAGTTGTATAGGATTTTAAGACTTTTAAACTATCGAAACTCTCATATATATATGCAGAAATATTACCTGCAATTTAAATGGCGAATCTACATATATTTGTGAAATGGTGTTGTTATCATCGTAATTCAAATTAGCGCTTGTCGTTACACAGGTCTGTCAGTAAGTCACATTAGCGCTGGTCGTTACACATGTCTGTCAGTAAGTCACATTAGCGCTAGTCGTTTCACAGGTCTGTCAGTAAGACACATTAGTGCTAGTCGTTACACAGGTCTGTCAGTAAGTCACATTAGCGCTAGTCGCTACACAGGTCTGTCAGTAAGTCACATTAGCGCTAGTCGTTTCACAGGTCTGTCAGTAAGACACATTAGTGCTAGTCGTTACACAGGTCTGTCAGTAAGTCACATTAGCGCTAGTCGTTACACAGGTCTGTCAGTTAGTCACATTAGCGCTAGTCGTTACACAGGTGTGTCAGTAAGACACATTAGCGCTAGTCGTTACACAGGTCTGCCAGTAAATCACATTAGCGCTAGTCGTTACGCAGGTCTGTCAGTTAGTCACATTAGCGCTAGTCGTTCCACAGGTCTGTCAGTAAGTCACATTAGCGCTCGTCGTTAAACAGGTCTGTCAGTAAGTCCCATTAGCGCTAGTCGTTACACATGTCTGTCAGAAAGTCACATTAGCGCTAGTCGTTACCCAGGTCTGTCAGTAAGTCACATTAGCGCTAGTCGTTCCACAGGTCTGTCAGTAAGTCACATTAGCGCTAGTCGTTACACAGGTCTGTCAGTAAGTCACATTAGCGCTTTTAAAATATGAAATAGAACAATAAAATCAGAACGTGCAAAGTGCTCCCTTTACCACATAGGGGTAAACAAATATGTCATTGTGAATCCTTCATCATTATTCATGAATGTAACTGTAGTGACCAGTCTCAGGCTTACATTAGTAATTGTTATCGTCCGTTAGACAGACAGTTGTTAATGTTAAATCATTGTTTTATTTCTGAAAACAAAACTGTTGCTCTCCCGACGTCATGGTCATTTACAGGTCTACGTGAAACCGAGAAGGGCGGTGCTCGGGCATTATCGAGTAAATGTATGGGTAATGGTACATAGCATAACAAAAACAACAACACTATTGTAACGTACTACAGTATGTCTAACGCCGCAAGTGTCCGTGTAGGACCCCCACACAGCTGATGATCAAGGTGGTATCTCGTAGGAAACGAGGAAAAACGCTAGATAGCAGGTGTGTATCTGTCACCACTGCCAGGGGGTATTACATCGCATGTCACGACCTTG